ATGCTGTGGCAGCACTCTGTAGGATGGACTGAAAGAAATGCAGAGGATGCTTCAAGAATCACAGCAGGAAATAGGGGCCTGGTGTATCAGACCCTCTGTTAGAGAAATGGAACCCAAGATCCAGAGAGCCAAGCCCGGGCAGAATGAACAGGACTTTAGTCGGGATTGAGCAGGACCACAGGAGCACTTCTACAAGACACAAACCTGGATACTATCCCCAAATCTCCCTCCTACCCACCATAGGGTTCTACGCATTCTACATCCAAAACATAGCATGAAAGTGCCATCCCTGTCACCGGTAAACCAGCCTTGGTTTAGATCACTTCATTCATTGCCTAATCCCCCCAAGACTTTCCTGTCTGAAGAGTCTCCCATGAAAGCCATTCTCAGAAGTGTTGCCGAAAGTGTCACTGCAAATTAACTTCTCACTATATCCCTCCCTCCCTTAACACCCTTCCGTGGAGTCCCCAGGCCATGAGGATGCCTCTGAGTGCCATAGGATAACACAAAATAACTCTAGATCTGGCTCCTGCCTACATTTACACCTCACTCTGCATTATCACCAAACCCTGCCCCATCCCTGGATTCTCCAACACGAGGCTCTAATGCCAGACTTGGAGCTACCTGCCTACATTGCACATTTCCATTCCAGTACGTGCTGTCCCTTCTGTTTCAAGGGTGCCCACCTCCTTCCAGTACATCCTTCTCGGCTCCTTGTTCATCATCGAGCTTTTCTCATTTAACCACCTCCCTGCCTAACGCGTACCACATTGCACTGTCATTCTTTGTTTATATATTCAGCTTTTTTCTCTGCCTTGTCATATTTGAAGGCAAACTCAATTCCTTTATTCCTGTGCAGTCAGTGGGCAACACAAGTGGGCATGCAAGATGGATGGGTGGATGGAAAACAGACAACAGAACGAAACCAGATTTAACCAAGTTGCTGACACATACAGGAGGCTTAAGGAAGGAATTCAGAGAAACAGGACACTTTAAAATACAAGAAGAAAGAGTGTGAACATGATTTCAGGGAGTCAGTAATTCTGAACAACTGGCATCATTGTGAAGAAAATCAAGTAACACTGCGGTATGAGGTAGGAAAGTGAATACATCTGTACTGTTTAGAGCAGTGAAGAAAAAAGGTGTAAGAGGATCATGAGAGGGAAAACAACAGATATGCATGAGGGCAGGCAGGAGGGCAAAGACCAGATGCCGATGTCGTAATGGGAATGCAAATTAGTTGTAATTCTGAAGCCATTATTAGTGCCCATAGTGTTTTGTGCTGTAAAATGAAGGGATCCTGTCTTTAAAAACTGACTCCTAGGAAAAATTCCAACTCAAAGTCACCTGAGGTCACGCAGGGTGAGGACAACTCAATCCCTCTGAAGGCAGGTGCGGTGCCCGTCGCAAGGCTAGAGAAATAGCAGGGATTTCCTTCCCTTTTTCATGTTCCAAGATCCCACACAGGAGTGTTGCACATGGAATGAAGTCAGTGGCCAGGAGTGAGGGATGGAATAACGGGCACTGGAACATCTTTTACAGTCACCTGAAGGTGCTTCCGACACGCAGAACACACCACAGCCGCTGCTGACTACAACACCTGCTATTCCATGTGCCAGTCCCTCTGTCACCTGCTCCTGCTTCAGGACGCCCTGCTATCCCCTGGAGTCTCCACCTGTGGGGATGGGGGATGGAGATTCCCTGGAATGCAACCTCTCACAATCCAGTGTGGTTGCTCATTAATGTATTCGTCAGCCCCCTGGTCCTTGCACCACCCGGGAGCACCGTGAGTAGCCTGTATTGAAACCCTGTGTACAGCTGTATCCCAAGTGGTGCAGAATGAGAACTGCATACATACTTATGGAAAGAGGGAAGGAAAGATACCCATAAGAAAAGATATCCAGAATGAACAAGATTTTTGCGAATGCATCAGGGCTTGTCGGGTGTTGCCTTCTAAACAAGGCAGTTGGACTCTGGCCTCGTCTGCAATGGTGACCTAATATTTCCTGTCTTATCTGAGAAGGATACAGGGGAGGCTTACGCTCCTGGAGCCTCAGAGGCACAGTGAGGCTACCATGCCAACATGCTAATTCAGAGCAGAGAGAGAGAGAGAAAGAGAGCAAGAATGAGAACACAGGGCGTGTGAGAAAGAGCAGATGGCTCAGCAGCACACCAGGTGCCTCGGCCTCACCCTTCCGCCGAACACCAGTACGAGGGATAGACAGGCAGGCCTGCACGGTTAACAACAACGGAGCTGCAGGTAAGGAAACCTCAGAAGGCAGAGGGAGGGCAAGAACTCAAGAAGGGTCTTCTCTTGTTTCAGAAGACGACTCTCGGTAAGCAGAGTATCAGGGGAGGGGTTCCTGAATTTTTACTTCAACTTGGCCTCATTGTGAAGCAGATCTCCTCACTTCCTGTCGCCCCACACACACAGGGTGGAGGCTGGGGGCGTGGCTGAGGCCTGTTGGAATGCTGTGGGCACTGGGAAGGCGCTCTGTGTCCTCTGGCTTCCCCAAATCTATGAAGCTTAGCTTCCTGATGGCATAGCCTGCATCTGAGTATTTGCTCTCTGTTTGAGGCAAGGCCATTTGGCAGTGTGTTTTCTCATCCATCAAGCAACAACGTAACTGTCACTCACCAAAAGCCCATCCCCTTCCTGTGCTGACCTCTGAGGACAATTCAACTGCAGAAACGAATGCTTACTTGCACAGCCTCCTGTCATTCTTGCGTTCAGCTCTGGGTGTTCCCCCGTGAAGGTCCCCTCCAGCTCAACTAGTTCAGGGAACTACTCACACAGAGAAGTGTTTTCCGTGAATAAAAGGACAGTACTAAACCATCTCCATGGTGTCCCAGACTGGAACCCATGCATCCTTTCGCTCAGGTAGAAAATCCTCCACATGTGGGTGAGGGAATGCCAGCTTAAACAGGGCACACACAATCATATCTTTGCACTTCCTGAACACGGGGTCACCTGGCCTGATACACGACATACCTGCCAGACCCTCATTGATATCCACAGCTGAGCACCTCCTGCTGCTGTGAGGGACAGGGCATAGAGCGGGTGCAGAAAGTACAGGGAACAGAGTCTGCACCCTGCCGGGTCAGGTGGAAATGGAAAAAGAAACATTTAATGTGCTTTGGGTCAGCAGAGATGACCTTGAAAGTACAGGCTGGCAGCAAGCAGCTGAAATCTGCAAGCACCTGAGGGAAAATAGAAGCCCAGAAGTAGGGGGCTGGTACATGCTGGACTGTCTAGGCCTCTCCTCCCCTCTGCCACCAGACAAAAGGAAAGAAACATGGAGATTTCCAAGGACAGCTGAGGGATGGGAGATGTGGGGAATTCCACTGTGCTCTATGAGCTGCGTGGGAAATGAAGGTCAGAAAGAACAGGACGGACGACAAACCTGAGTGGGGCAGAGGGAGAAGGGCCAGCGGCTGCCTTCTGCACCCTTTCCTTTCTTTTCTGGTGGACACTGGAGACAGGCCTTTGCTTGGCCCTTCCTTAGGATCTTGCCATCTAGATAAGGTGTGTGCAGAAGGTACCCTCCTACAGCCCAAGTCAGCAAAGCCTGGGGCACCTTACGGTACCCCTTTTTTCTAATTCCCTGGGCTAAGAGAGGCCTTGAGGCTCATAGTTTACATGTCCTATCATCCTCAAGGAAGTGGGTGCCTGACCAGTTCCACAGAGTTCTCAACCCCATTTGCCATTAAAACTGCCCGGGCCACTCATAAAATTGAACATACTTGGGCTTCACTGCACTTCTTCAAATCCAGAGTTGAAAAGCTAATAATACACAAAACCTCTCCAACATTATGAACATCCCTGGTTTCAACTAATCAAACCCCCAAATTCCAACATGACCAGATGCATTTCCTCACTGGTCTGTGGTAGAGCTCTGCTTCACCCCACATCCAGACTAGGTGACCCCTAGCTACACCCAGCCCGGTAGACCAGATGCCCTTCGGAGTCAGCTTACCTACATTAGAGTCCCAGGTTTTGTCCTGCAGAGCCAGGACGTGGTCTGGCTGATACAAGTCAAAGGTAAGGGTTGGTGATGAATATCACCACAGCGCTATGACTGCCTCGGAGGCTCAGCATTCACATGACCCTGCTTGACAGGAAAAGGGCTGGCAGCCATTCAAAGAGGAGGTTGTGATCCTTAAAAAAGATAAGGTAATGCATTCTCAGGCTTCCTCTGATCTCTTTTTGAGCCCTTCTCTAGAAAATGCTGCCTGACTCCATGTTTTCATGTGACTGGACAGAGTCAAGCTCAGAAACATTATGCACAGAAGTCCAATCTAAACTCTGGCATGGTAGTGCCTGTCTGTGATCCTAGGACCTGGCCGGCTGAGGCAAAAGGATTGCTGAGTTCAAGCCTAGCCTACATTATACAGTTCAAGGCCAGCAGCCTGAACTATAAACTGAGACCTTGTCTAAAAAAAGAAAAATGCTGAAGACTAATCCAGCAGATAAGTTCCTTTCAGAAAATCAGTTATCATTAATTTCTATTTTTAAGAACTGAGGGAAAAAATATTTGTGATATGATTAGGGAATACATTTTAATAGATTAGATTTGCAAGTGCCTCTTCTCCATAACAACTTCTTCTTGACCCTTCCCCCAAACCCCTATACACAGATAAGGAATGAAGCCAGATCTTTGGGAGAAGGAATTAGCAGTGCTGTACCATAAATACATGGACAGCATCTCAGAGGCACTTGAGCTGAGACACACCGTGCTGTTACTGGTAAGAATATGCCAAGTATTTAGAGCTCAGACATTGGCCAGGTCTAGGATAATCTAAGAGCTACTTCAATCAACATTTAATGCAGTAGTCAGCAAACTGTTTTTGTAGTGGTACAAGACAACAGGTATCTTAGGGTTACAGCAACACATAGCTGCTGTCATGATTACTCGGCTCTGCCACTGCATTGTAAAAGTTACTACAGACAATAAAGGATGTGACCGCATGGGTGAAACTATATTCCAATAAAACTTTATTTACAAAGACAGGCCAGATCTGGTAGTTCGCCAACCCTTCTTTTACCATAACAGCTTCTGTAGATCAAACTGTGTGAAACTGAATGTATGAGTAACAAATAAGGGAAAAGAACAGTAAAAGACTGATATGGATTTAATGACAAATATTCCATATTTGTGGCTGTACACCAGAATGCTGTCCAAAGAACCATTATTAAATAAAACAACCTGAAAACAAGGCAATTATCACATATACAAACACATTCACACGAAACCTGTTAATCTCAGGAGCATTATTCACTATTTTAACAGACAGATGTAAAGTAACATTACAGTGAAGAAAAGTGTGCAAACTTCAGAAACACGGTTCAGATCATCTGTGAACAAATCCTTAATTTGTACCTTTTAACATATGTACAGCCTCATGACTGCAAAGAGAACATATGGCTCAAGGGGCTAACTGTTCATCTCCCTCCAACCCAGAACTCAAGATTTAATCACAACCCCTTAAACTTTAAATGCTTCTGGATTTGCTTAGCAGGGGTCTTGGCCAAATTCCCCAGAAAACAAATAATACACTTGCCGCCACCATCGCTAATGATTTGGAGGAAAGAATCTTTAAACACATCCAAGGGTGAACCACAGTTAACAGGGTTTGCTGAAGAATTACTATTACTCTAAAATTAAAGACAAACAACAACCTGCTGAATGCACTTAACTTCACTTAATATGGGTATACACCCTGGAGAAACATAAGAAATATGCAATCACATTTTAAAAACGCTATGAGATTGGGGGCTAGTGGCTGAACAGTTTGCTACTGCTAAGAAGTTTGCTCACAGAAGGGATTTCCCCCCCGCCTGGTACCAGGGATCGAACTCAGAGACCTTGCACTTGCCAGGTAGGAGTGGTACTGCTGAGCTACATCCCTGGCCACAGAACGGATTCTAATGCCATAGCTGACTCTTATCCACAGTAATAAAAAGGACAAGAGAGGCAAAGTCCAAAGATTTCCACTGTCATTGTTTTACATTATCTTTGATCCCCGGTCCCCACTAAACTCCAATTTTGCTGATATGTAACATTTGATGCTGACAGGACTATGTAACAATGGCAGCAAAAGACCAGAAAACCCATAAAGTCAATAATCAATTCATAAATAATCAAAAGTTGGATAAGACTTTATAGGCACAGACTTGAGAGAACTTAAAACAGCTGGAAGAGGTAGATGTGCTTAAAAAAAAATACCACAAAGGAGAAAGATTACCTACAAATTGTACTGCATTATTTTTAGACAGATTGTATACACATGGTATTCAGACAAGTCAGAATAAATAAGATATGTACTTTGCTTGTGTAGCCTTGACTAAAAGAAAACAAAAATTAATTCACATCTTTCAAAACTATCCCTAGTATGAACATCCATTTTCAATAATAACAAAATGATTAAAAGGGCAGGACAATAGGCAATGTACAACCCAAAATTCTCAGGATTTTTTTTGTTATAAAACATGCTTTCCTACAGTCCCCAAAGAGGTTCTTTGCTAGGTTACAACCGATCAAGTATAAGTTACTAGCATTCACAGAAACTTTGCTAAAACTGTAAAAACAATTTTGTAGCTTCCCCCCCCCTTCAACTGTGTCCAACAGTTTGTGAAAATGCTTCTATGGATAGTAGAGGGTAACAAATATTAGTGAAGAAAACACTCCTTTTCCACAACTCTAACTTCTAAGGCTAACCTAGGGGAGGGAATTTCCAGAAGAGGGAACGGAAATCTACACGAGTCATTTAACTACAGCCCCCTACTAGAAACGGAACAGAGCTAGGATACCCTAAGTAGGTGACAAAGACCAGCTTTGTCAATAAGGACGTCTTTGGCCCTTCTAGGCTAGATTTGAGTTTTCGATCAGGAATAACATTGTTCAGTGTCCTTATCATATAGTCATGACAAGTTAAGTCTTCCTAGCAGCTGAGCCGGAGAACACCAAAGGTCAGGCCACACCAATCCACACTGTCCTCTGCCTTCGTTCAGGACAGCCTGCCACATTCCTGTCCCCAGGCCTTCCCTAAAAGAGGTCATAATACTGATTCACCTCACAGAGATGTGAGAAACAACTACCATTCAAAAGCATATAGCACTTGGCATATCCAAAAGTGCTATTTTGGCATCTATATAACTAGAAAACATTCATCGCTTGTGCTATTTGGCAATGTTACATTTCCACCTCTCCCAGACTGTGCCCTCTTTGTGTAAAGCCTTGAGATTTCGACAGTGCTTCCACACATCAGAAACAGAAATTGCTGCTTGGACTAGACCCTCATTAGTAAGGATGGAGGCAGGGGTTAGTGGAGAACAGGGCACCTACATGCAAGGTGAAGGCAAATGAGATAAAGGAGCCCTGCATTTCAACATGCAAATTTGACTCTCCTGGATTTCTCGCAGAAGGCCAGCAAAAAATCTGAGCTGATTCATTTTGGTAGGTGGCCGGGACAGCTGATGTTAATCTGATATTCACCTGAAAGCTGACCTGAGAAGGGAGAGTCTCACAGAGCTGAGACTGTTCCATTTCCTGTACCTGAAAAATCGCAAGTGAGACCTTAAAAAAAAAAAAAACACTGGGACTGGGGTGTGCTACAAGAGGGAGCAAGAGGTGGGTCATCCTCACAGACAACCTAGATTCACCATGAAGCTAGAGTGCTTTTCAAGGAAGCAGCAAAGAACCGGAACAGGACTTGCCAAGCGTTCTGAGAACCAGTTAGATATAAACGAATTTCTACAGCCCAGAGGCTGCCCCTTGAAAGGAAGGTGTGTCATCTTTCATGACCAGTTTCCCCTGGATGCCTCAAAATAGCAGCTAACTGTGGCTCGGGGAAAGGAAAGGAAGAGTACAGTCCCTATCCTCTCCTGCAGGGTCGACTACAGCTGATGGGGGTCTCAGGGCAAACGCTGCTTACCACCCCGTGGGGCCGAGACAGACTTACCCGCATCTTGTGTGACTCCACAACTCTCACTCCAGCCGTGCTCTCTTCCCCGATTCCCACAGACCGTCGAAGCCCAATGTACTCTGCGCCTAGCATACCATTCCTCACTCCAAATCTCCTTCCTGAAGGTCGTCAGAGCGCCCACGCTCTCCACTCCCTACAGCGCGTTTGAGGTTTCCTCCACTCAAGCACACCTCCCGAGTTTCTCTGATGGAGAGGAGGCAGGCAAAATAGAGCGCCCTGAAATAACTCCTCCTCAACCCTTCCTGCCCGGACCCCAGAGCGCCGGAAGGCCCTTTCAGTCACTCTCAGACCGTCCTTCCCCACTTCCTTCCAGAGGGTCTGTCCCAGGGCCACCTGCTCCCCACGCTCCACCCACCCTAGCACAGGTGCAGCTTCTGGTGCTGCGCGAGGTGTGTCTTGTAGCGGAAGCCTTTGCCGCAGCCCGTGCACTTGTGCGGCTTGTTGCCCGTGTGGATGCGGCGGTGGCGGATCAGGTGCGAGCTCTGGATGAAGCTCTTGCCGCACTCGATGCACGTGTAGGGCTTCTCGCCCGTGTGCGTGCGCTGGTGCTGAGTGAGCGTGGAGAAGTCGCTGAAGCGCTTTTCGCACTGGCCGCAGCGGAAGGGCTTCTCGCCCGTGTGCACCCGCAGGTGGTTCACCAGGTGCGAGTTGCGCCCGAAGCCCTTGCCGCACTCGCGGCACACGTAGGGCCGCTCGCCCGAGTGCGTGCGCTTGTGCGTGAAGAGGTGCGAGCTCACGCTGAAGGTCTCGCCGCACTCGGAGCACATGTAGGGCTTCTCGCCCGTGTGCACGCGCTGGTGCTTCACCAGGTCCGAGCGCCAGCTGAAGCGCTTGCCGCACTCGCCGCAGCCGTGCGGCTTCTCGCCGGTGTGGATGCGCTGGTGGT